AATTGTTAAACTTGACAAAAATGTTAGAACACGATCAAACCCTGTCAAACTTAGTCAACCATGGTCAAAACGTATCAAACATGGCCAACTAAGAAGCAGTCGAACCTAAATCAAAACCTATCAGAATGTTCAAACATGGTCAAACTTGGTCAAACCCAGTCAACCATGGTAGAACCTATCAAATATGCCCATTCAAGGAGCACAATTGCACGTTCATCATATATTAATTTCAAAAAGCCAGGTTAACTTACTCTAACTTACTTGGAAGGGAGAATGTCGACAATGGAGATGCTAAAGAAGAAGGTGCTGGTGATTGGTGAGCTATGTTGAATTCAAAGAGGAAGGTTTGAACGTGTTCCAATGAAGTTCAAACTTCAAAGCATAGCTTGTTCGAACGCTTCATGGAGGAGAATATACGCAAGGAGAAGGGCATCCATCGGAAGAGAAAAAAAAGTTTGATTTGTGAAGGATGCCCCTAATAATAATAAACCTTATGAGGTCACTTTGATAAAAAATCTCTTTTAGGGGCATTTTAAAAATTTGTCCTGTAAACATGATATTGTTTGCATATATAAAGTTTTACAAAAATATAAAATTTTAATAGCAAAACGTTTTCCGACCTACAATTTTTGTTCAATTGATTCAAATAGTAAAATTAATATATCATTGTTAAATTACTTTTTTATATCTTCAACTGTTTATTTTGAAAATAGGTTTGAAATAACAACAAAATTAAACACTAAATGATATTTTGTTCATTCTACATCATATTCTACACATTTCTCTATTTAGAAACAATCACAAAAATGTATATATATATATATATATATATATATATATATATATATCATTATAATACTAGTTCAATTTTATAATTACCATAAAATAAAACATTCGATCATGAGGGAAAAGATTTTTAACTATTACTTTAATGGTATTCTACCCATTCTTTAGTGATATTCTACCCATTCTACACAATCTTCTATCCATTCTCTACTTACTGTTGGAAAATGTGTTAGTAAATTGCATTAAATGGTCATTTTGGGGATTTTTTTTTGAGTGGGGTCCACTTCCGATTTGGGTTGGGTCTAATTGGTTTTGGATTGTCCTTGCTAAGGGCTACAATTCGATACGTGATATACTCAAAACGGATAACGGGTGAATGAGATATCGATTTTCGAAGTTTACCCGTTGAAATGGAGCAGCAGCCGGCTGCTCCAGCAGCCCACTGCCGGCAGGACAGTCCGCAGCAGCCTGCTGCCGGCAGGACAGTCCGCAGCAGCCTACTGCTGGGACGTCCGCAAAAGCCTACGTTTGTGAGTGGTGTATCGTTGTAAATCACGTGCTAGCTACTTATAGGAAGGATTTGGAGGTGTGTTAATGAATGTTTAATGGACATGAACATTGGACGTTAATGGCCTTAATGATGTAACGTCCTGGCAGCAGCCGCCTGCCAACGGGACTGCACCTGGAGCAGCAGCCTCGTGCCAACGGGGCTGCACCGGGAGCAGCAGCCTCCTGCCGTAGTAGCATTCCAACGAGTGACTTCGAGAATCAATTTCTCGTTCACCCGTTATCCGTTTTGAGCGTACCATATATCGAATTGTAGCCCTAAGTAAGAACAATCCGGAACCATTTTGACCCGATCCAAATCATAAGTGGGACCCGCTCAAAAAAATGCCCCAACATGTGACCATTTCATACAATTTATTAACGCATTTTCCAACAAGAAATTTGTAGAATAGGATGTAGAATGAGCATAATAGCATTTGGTGTTTAATTTTTTTATTGTTATTTTGGACCTATTTTTAAAAGAAATAGTTGAAGCTATAAAAATAATTTAACAATGAGATCTTAATTTTACTACGGAGTATTTGAAACAATTTAAAAAAAATTGTAGGTCAGAAAACCATTTGCTATTAAAAATTTATAATTTTTTAAACTTTAAATATGCAATGTAGAAATCATACTCCGTATGAAAGATCATAAAAAATTATGAATTTTGATATACTTTTCGTACAAGTAGGAGTACAAATAGAAAATACAAAATTGTAACGGAAAATGAGATTTTGCCTTTTCTTTCCTTTTGCGTAGGAAGCTGCTGCCCCAATTCAATGAATGCAGCAAACATTGAACTCCCAACACTTCCCCCTTTTTCAACCCCTTAAAAACGTACGAGATGGTTTATTATTGAATAGATGAGTATAATGAATTAAAACACTACTTTTAAACTTTATATACTTAACATTGGTGTCATAATGAAAATCATAAAAAAATTATGAATTTTAATATATCTCAAATAAAAATTAGATTACAAATAAAACATTATGTCATTTTAAAAGCAATGAGAGTTTCTTTTTTGGCGAGCAGTTTCCTCGTTTTGGTGATCAGCAACCTACTAAGCTGCTAGAGGCAACAACATTTTGTGTGAAAGGAATAAAAAGGGTAGGGCAGACAAAACATAATAATTTTTTGTCAAGTATTATAGTTTTTTTATTTGTAGTTCAATTTTTTCAAACAACATATCAAAATTCACATTTTTTTATTATAAATCATATGATAGCAATATTACATACATATATATATATATATATATATATATATAGTTTTAACAACATTTCAACTTTCAATTGTACGAGCTTCTTAGACGCAATTGTTTTTAAATAAATTCAAGTGTTAAAATTAAAATCTCATTAAGAAATAAAAGTGACAAGAAATGAGTTGTAGATGTAGAACTTTAATTTGTTAAACTTCAAATATAAGTCTCTACCCCCATTTCACTCTCCACTAACCATTCAACCCTCTACACATTCAACCCATTCAACCCTCTACACATTCAACCCATTCAACCCTCTACACAATGAACCATTCAACCCTCTACACATTCAACCTTCTACATTAACTCATTCAACCATGTACAAATTCTACCCATTTAACCATGTACAAAAACTAAAAAATTAAAATTTTAATTGTTAAATGTTTTTGAACCCAAAACTTTTCTTAAATAATTCAAGAGGTAAAATTAAGTTCTTATGATTACTTTTTTAAAAATCTTTCCGTTATTGATTTTAAAAAATAGGTATGAATTAACAGCAATAAAAATTAAACTCAGAATTTTAAGAAAAGAAATAAGAAAAGAGAAAAATACCTAGAACAAAGTTTAGGTAATTTTATTATGCGTCTTCATCATGGTTCTTCATCATTGTTCAAGTTTTTTTTTTCGGTATGAAGAGAACGCAGAAATCAAAGAAGACGAGAATCCAAATAATCTTATTATTTCCTCCCAAAAATAAAAAAATTCATCTCATTTACACAAAATCCTCTAAAACTGTTCTCGAAATGTTAAAAAAAAAAATTATAGAAGAATCTGGAATTTCATATTTAGATCTATTCCGGATGGGAGCTTGGAGCAACCGACCAGAGCCATCCACGTCCAGCTGTGTGTCATGGACTTAAGCTTGCTGTCCCTTGAAACTCCCTACACCATCTCCAGATCTCGCCGCCGCAGAGCTGCCGTCTTGAGTTGAGTTTGTCGTGCTCCAGGTACGGAAGTTGCGGCCATTAATGGCCGCCTTAGAGCTCGTGAGAGAGACGAACGAGTCAGAGTATGTGCCTTACTACTTCTGTTGCAGCACCTACTGCCTTGCTCTTGGTCACCCTCACGTATCAACGAACTGTTATAATAGCTCGACGGTCTTTGTCCGCCATTAACGGCTGCCAGAGAGCTCTCCGCTCACGACACAGGCGGCAGCCACATCGAGGGATTCTTCTCCCTCAGTCACAAAAAACACCTTACCAAAATCAAACTGGATTTAATCCCCTCTTCGTCGGCACTAGACGGCGGCCATCAGATGGGAAGGGACGACACGATGATGATGTAGCGCAGGTCAAAACCTAACGGAGTAAAATTGATTTTCAAGCCATCCACCATAGACAAAGACAGGAAATTGTAACCCAAAAAAGAATTAAATTCTACTACATAAATATTTGAATTTGAAGTAGAATGCTCTTCAATGGAGAAAAGTTGCAGGGAAATGAAAGAGAAGGAAAGAAAGAGAAAGAACGAAAGAGAAAGTGGAAGAAAGTTGACTTGACATAAAGAAAAAATAAGCTAAAATGAAAAATGTATAAATTGCTAAGATGACCCTGGATTTAAATGTAAATGCCAATGTAGAAAACAAAAGAACGACATGGTTAATGGGTACAAATGGAGCAATATTAGTGGTACACCTCACGGGGTACACCGGTGTAGGTTTTTTATAACCCACACCGAATGAATCGCCCATTACTATTTATTACCATACTCAATGCTCATATTTATTGCCCATATTCACTGCCAATGTGTCTTATCCATGTCTAGCTAAAAACCCCAAATTCAAGAAATAAGAATTGAAGAAGAATGCAGGCACTCCGTGTTTCAACAAACACTCTGCAAACAGAAAAACATGCAATTAATTATTTTAAATTGAAAATAAGTAATCAAAACAAAAATCAAATTCAACTTATATGTTCCACAAATGGTGAAGGCCCTCCTCCAGACATGAGCTCCAAGATCTCAGATCTGAAATTGGCCGTACTTGAAGATTCCAAATCGAATCCTTAAACTGCTCACCCAGTAGTTGCCGCACCATGGACGCCGCTGCTTGCTGCCAAGGTCAATGTTGTTGGTTGACACACGGACTGGAGCTCCATCTCCCATCAAAGTCCGCCCTTCATATCGCTTCCAATCATCGATTCAATGACAGAGGACGACGCATCAATGTCGGACGGCGATTCGGCACACAGGTCGGGCGATTGTGCTATTAGGCGAGAGATAATTGATCTTTGGAAAGCAGCAGGTGTACTCCCAGGCTAGAATCTGTGGGCGGCGGGCGGATACTTGATGGGGACGGCTGCGTGGGTGGGTGGCTCTAGGGTTGGAGCTAGGGTTGGGGAAAGGCTGCAGCTAGGGTTGGAGAAAAATGAGTATGAGATTAGGGTTTTATAGGTATAATCTAAAGGGTATATTTGTCCCTAAAAATTATTTATTATTTAATTATTTCGAAATTTAATTAAATGTTTCGAATTTTAATATTATTTTAGGAAAAAAACTGGTCAGGTCATAGATTGAGAAACTCGTTGAATTTTAGTCATACGTAGGTTAATTATCTCGTTAATAAATACTAGTGCTAACACAAGTTATTCCCATGCACTCATGAAGAACGTATTTAACGGGGTTTTCATGTCGACATATATCAATGATCGTTATTGATAACAAAGTAGATGTACGCAGGGTATTGAATAAAGAAGAAGAGAAAATAGTCTATGATTGTTCTTCATTAACGTAAGTATTCCTCCATTATACAAGAGTAGTGCCGAGTAATTAGTAGCGGCTACCAATAATAAAGGGAATAAAATCAACCTATCCCTAAAATAGTCCATACATAAATAAAATACATAAATGATTTTTTCCCGAAAAATAACACCAATACCCCCCCTCAAGTTGGTGCATGAGGATTTAAAATGTCCAACTTGCGTATGAGAGTCTGAAACTGAGTTTTGCCAAGAGCTTTGGTGAATATATCAGCTAGCTGCATAGTCGTAGGGACATAATGGGGTGCAATAAGTTGAGCTTGTACTGCATCACGAACGAAATGACAGTCAACTTCAATATGTTTGGTTCGTTCGTGAAATACGGGATTATTTGCAATATGTAGTGCAGACTGACTATCACAGTAGAGCGGTATGGCCTGAGGGTGTTGGATACCCAAGCTCAAAAGTAATGCTTTCAACCATTTAAGTTCACACGTGGCAAATGCCATGGAGCGTTATTCGGCTTCAGCCGATGAGCGTGCTACTGTAGATTGTTTCTTGGCTTTCCAAGAAATAGGAGAGTGGCCAAGAAAAACTAACCATCCAGAGATAGACCGCCGAGTGAGGGGACATGCGGCCCAGTCAGAGTCACACCAACCAATTAGTGTGAGATCACTATCAGCCCGCAGGAGTATGCCCTGTCCAGGAGAACCTTTTAGATAACGTACCACGCGCAAAGCAGCAGACCAATGTTCGGCCAAAGGTTTTTGCATGAATTGGGAGAATATATGCACAGAGTAAGTAATGTCGGGACGAGTGACCGCCAGGTAAATAAGACGACCAACCAGACATCGATACTGTTCAGGATCGGCCAGTGGGGCGCCAGTAGCATGCCCGAGACCGTGATTTTGCTCGATCGGAAATGTAGCCGGTTTGGCACCTAGAAGACCAATTTCAGTGATATTATCCAGAGCATATTTTCGTTGAGTAAGAAAAATCCCAGTAGGACTCCGAGCCACTTCAATGCCAAGAAAATATTGGGGTTATGTCTAGAATAATACTAAACAAAGACCTATGGACTAAAAAGAGACCTTTTTTTCACTTTCCAAAAATGGGACTAAAAAGGGGATTAAGCCTTAATTACTGTTAAGACACGGGGTTCCATCCTAAAAGGTCAACCTGTTAGGAGGAGTAGCCCGAAGCTTAATATAGCACTCTAATGCTTCTCAATTTTCCGGTGTGGGACATTTAACACCCCTCCTCACGACCAGACACTTCGTCTGGATCGTGTCGTCATTCATTTTTTTCATCGGTCGTCAATTTTTTTTTTATCGTGTCGTCATTTTTCATAAGGGGCCCCACACCATGGATCGACTTGTCTCTGATACCATGTTAAGACACGGGGTTCCATCCTAAAAGGTCAACCTGTTAGGAGGAGTAGCCCGAAGCTTAATATAGCACTCTAATGCTTCTCAATTTTCCGGTGTGGGACATTTAACAATTACCCTCCGTAAATATTCAACCATGCACCGGCTTAGCTTTAGACACACTCCGTAATGTTGTTGCCTTAATGTTGTTGTATTCCGTAAGAATGCATTATGTACTCAACTAATCATTAATCCTTTTTTTTTAATTTCAAAATTATTTCTCATTTCTCAAGAGAGACATTATGTAATTGGATATGGAATTATATGTGTATTAAATATTTATTTTTTGACACTATAATTTGTGTGAAAACGATCTTAGTTACTACAACCCAATGACCTAACTGCCAATGACTTGACCATTTACAGTTACCCGATTTGACCAGTTACCTAATTTGACTAGTTACAGTTATTAAACTCAATCCAGTTACAGTTACTTGATCTCACCAGTTACAATTATCTGATCTAATTAGCTACACTTATCTGATCCGACCAGTTACAGTTACTCGATTCAATTAGTTACAATTACCTAGTCCGACCAGTTACAGTTACCCGATTCAATTAGTTACAGTTACCTGGTCCGACCAGTTACAGTTACCCGATCCGACTAGTTACAGTTACCTAGTCCGACTAGTTATAGTTATCAATGAACAATCCCACCAGTGATTAACCCGACCAATAACCATGACCAATCTGACCAGTTACAGTTACCCGATCCGACTAGTTATAGTTACCTAGTCCGACTAGTTATAGTTATCAATGAACAATCCCACCAGTGATTAACCCGACCAATAACCATGATCAATCCGACCAGTGACCATGACCAACCCGACCAGTGACCATGACCAACCCGACCAATGACCAATCTAACCAATGACCATGCCCAATCCACCCAGTGACCATGACCAATCCACCAAGTGACCATGACCAGTGACCAACCTGACAAACAACCGTGACCAGTTCGACCAATGACCAATTACCCGATTAATGACCTAGACCAATGAAATACTCATTGAACGTTGTCGTTGTTTGACGGGGATTGCCGCCACCGCCCGAAGGTGTCCACCACCATCTCCAGCATCTTCCCCCACCCCTCCCCCACCTACCAGAAAGATCATTTATATCATATTTCTGCTCTTCTCATCTTCTTTTTCAACTTCCTCTATCAGAACAAAGTGATCTTAGCATCTGATGATGATTCAACCTGGCAAAAGTATGCACATTAGCTCTAACCGTTTGGAAAGTGAATGAGGTTGCGCCTGAAGTTAATGGAAATTCTGGAGAAGGAAATGAGATAACAGGAACCTAATGCACATCATGAAATTATTTCAGTAACACCACCGACACAACATACGTATGAAGAATTATAACACAAACTATAAATATGACGCCCTCAAACCTGACTTACCCGTAAATGGGTTCAGACTTCAGATTGGTTATATATTGAAGTAACCATGAATTGATAAAACACACCAATGGGTCAAGTGGCTTGTTACATCCTAAACTTGCTAACATCCATTCAGTTCAGTCGAGTGAGGTGATTAGAACTGTCTAGGTCGGGTCGGGGGTTGCAAAAACAATAAATTTAGGAAGACAATTACTGACTTATAGTCTTAGAGATACTTCCTGTAGAAATTATAGTCATGGGTCACAACAAATGTTTAACCTGAGTAGAAGATTGATGGCACAGTGGGCACAGTGGGACTTTTCTTCCGGCCAGCTAGTTGTACAGAGAAGTAGAACAAAGTGTAACTTGATTAATTTTATTATGTTGATTAATTTTTTTAATTTTATACGTGTAGCTAACAGTGTCAAATATAAATGTGTGTACATAATCAATTAGGGTTTGAACCTGAAGCCCTGGGCCGAAGAAACCTTATCGCCTTCTTCATCATGAAGTCTGCAAGCAGCAGATCCAGAGCTCGGAGATGCAGGTGCTGCAAGTCCGCCACTTGCCTTGCCGGCCGCCTCCTTGAAACTGCCTCTACTCGCTTCACTCCCTTGATTTTGCCAGTTTCCCCTCTGCTCTGTTCATTTCGCCGTCATGACTCTGCGACTGTCTTGTCTGGTCCGCCGTTCCAATCCCCATGATGGGAAAATTGGTTGCTGAGGCACTTGGTCGCGAGCAGTCTCAATCATCCAGTGCAGTCGTCGCCACCGTCTATGGCCCTCCATTATTGTCGCTGCAGTGGTTGCGACACTACTTCGCCTCCCCCACACCCGATGTATGCCAATGCTTTGCCTCCCCCACACCCGATGTATGCCAATGCTTTGCCTCCTCCACGATGCTTTGCCAAGACCTATACTTCACTATATTTTTTAATTTGGAAAACCAAGCACCTAACAGTCCGAACGGTGACTCCTTGGGAATGGACGACACTGTAACACTGACAGGTATCATCATGTTTTGATGACCACTCGACCTTTGTAACTTCTAGCCAAATACCACGTTTGCCCCTGATTGTGACACTTTTGAGCGGGAAAATTGGCCTAAATTTCACCTCTTTTTATATAGAGGTAGATAATAATAAACTTCTACTTATATAACTCGATTATAGTAAATCATTAATTCTGAAATGTTGGTGTAAGCGGATTAATAAGTGGAATAATGGGAGAATTGGATAAATTCACATTTTTGGATTAATCGGTAAAAGTGGATCAACTATTATTAATTAGTAAAGTTGATTAAAGGAAATATATTAAGAGTTGGAGTCATATAAAATAACAGTGTCAAATTGGGAACATTAATTAAAGTAGAATAATGGGTTAAATAGGGTATGATGGAGTATATGGCCCAAGAACCCCCGGCCCATAGACTCCTACTTCTGCTACACATGTCCAATGAGCCCAGAGAACAACTCAGGCCCAAAAGCAACGGCCCAAGCCCCAAAAATAGCCCGAAATACATACTGGGGTGCCCTCGGCCTCCTTGGCCGAAGGCTCCGAAACTCTCAGGATAGCCTTTTTTGGGCATACGAAGCTACTGGGAGAAAACGGGAAAAACAGGAGCCTTCGGCATTATCGAGCCCTCGGCATCAGGGAAGCCTTCGGCTGAACAAAACCTCCGGTCACACAGGGCCTTCGGGTACACAGGGGTCCCCGGTTACATGAAGCCTTCGGTTACACAGAGCCCTCAGCCGAAGGAGAATCCTTCGGCCAAACCACTTAATCGTCAAAGATTCCCTCTGGAGACAAGCAACCACCGCATTTAATGCGACGTCACATCCACCAACCGCATTCAATGCGGTGAACATGCCACTGCCGGTGCCACCCGGCTGATGTGACCCTTCGGCCGTTGGATTGCTGACACGTGTACTCTCATCGCATTTATTGCTGCTATAAATAGCAGCCCTTATTCACCTTGTAAACCACGCTGAGTTCATTTAGCAAAATCGACTCTCTCTCCTCCTATTTGCTCTGACTTCTCTCTAGTTATTCCCGCAACAACCCCTCGGATAAGATACCCCCCGGGTAGACTATCCATCATTTGGTGCTCTCGTTGAGAGCTCAGAACAATCAAGTAAGAAACCCTCCCCTTCTACCAAACACGAAACACTTACCAAAAATGGGAAGAACCACCCGTGCCCAATCCAAAACCCTGGAGGAGAACCACGTCGCCCCCGGCGAAACCAACGGGGCTGAGGCCTCCAACAGGCTCTTGGTACCCGAGGGTGGTATCATCCTGGAATTAGAGCAGGCTACCGCTGACCTCCGTCAGCAGCTGCAGAAGAACGCCCCTGATGCCCGCATTGGCCTTGATAATCGAAGGAGGGATCGGAGTGAGAACCAAGTTCCTCCTCCGGCCTCGGCCATCGATCTTCAGGCTGCCTTTGCGGCCTTTGTTCAAAACATGGCTCTCAATTCAGGAGCCCTCGCCTCCCAGGCGCCCCTTCAGCCCCACGCTGGAGGGAATGTTATCCAACTACCACCACTCCCTCCTTTGTTCAACAGTCCTCCCCCGGGGATTGGCAATGCCGAGGGGGTCATAGCGCAGGATACCGCCTCCCAAGAGGCCCAATCCAGGGACAAGTGCCCCATGATAAAAGAGAAACCCCGAACCTCTGTACTTGAGAGGCTTGGGGGAGCTCCCGGGCACCGAGGGATCCAAGACCGCCTCGGGAAACAAGCATTCAGCAGGCCCCAGGAGAGTGGAGCCTCTGTTTCGGGCGCCGAGGGCGTGCCTCCCCCACGAAGCAAGGGCAAAGCCCTCCTCCATGCCGATGACGCCAGGCACCAGATCAATCAGGCGCAATCCTTCCGGGCCAACTCCCAAGGGGTTGCCCCGAAGGATCCCAAGGACGAAATCATTGAAGCCCTCCTCCGTCAACTCGAGGAGAATCGTCAGGCACCCCCGACGGCTTCCACAGCGAGGCCAGATCCGGAGTACGCTGACCTCCGGGCACAGGTGGAGGAGATCAAACGTAAACTTGCCGAAGGCTCAGGCGAGCCCCTCATTCAACTCCACACTAGAACACCCTTCACCCCAAGGGTGTTGGCGGCCAAAATCCCTCACAAATATCGGGGGCAACCCATCAAGCCGTAGGAGGGGAAGACAGATCCCCAAGAGCACTATAGCCGTTACCAAAACAGCATGATGATGATGGGGGCATCGGATGAATATTTATGCCGTTGGTTCCTTTCCACCTTGGAGGGGCCCGCGTATGAATGGTTCAACCGATTGCCCGAAGGCAGCATTGATTCTTGGCAAGAACTTGCCCACCGCTTCCTTACACAATTTGCTGGGAGGCATCGCTCAAAGAAGCACTTCTCCCACCTCCTGAACGTGAGACAGCAGAAGGAGGAAACCCTTCGGAGTTTCTTAGAACGCTGGAGGCAGGCTTCCCTCGAGGTCGAGGGCACCGATGACAGGACCCTGATGGCCCTCTTCCACACAGTCCTCCGCAACGGTAACTTCTCTCGGAGTCTTATCACTGATCCCCCCCGCGATTATACGAAGGCCCTTCAGCGGGGGGACCGATATGCTGAAGCGGAGGAAATCGAGAAGGACCGCCGCAACACGGATCCTTCTCAGAAGAATGAGGGCAGGAATCGGCCCGTGTGGCCTCCCCCTCCGGTCAACCGAGAGCCCCATCACAGTGATCGCTCCCGAGGTGGCCAAGCCAGACCCGGGGGCGGTTACAAGAATAATCCGAAGGCATGGGCGCAACCCGTCCTCCTTGAGCACCCACGCACTCCCTTGACGCATCCCGTCAGCATCATTCTTGATCATGCGGAGGAGCGGGGGCTCGTTGAGCGAGACTCCCGCACACCCCTCGAGATTTATGCCATCGGTCCTGATGAGCCCTACTGCCGCTTCCACCGCCACCATGGACACAAAACCGACGACTGCCATCAGCTGAAGAACGCCATTGAGAGGCTGATACAGGCAGGCCACTTGTCTCAGTTTATCAGGGGCCCTCCTCCACAGGGCCCCCTTCACCATCAGGTGCCTCCGCCGAAGGCAAACAAATGGGTGAACCCCAACACCATCCCCTTGGGGAACCCACAGGGGAAGAAACGTGAAATCGGTGGCCTCGACGACGAGGGAGAGGGCTCCCATCAACAATATAAGCGCCACGTCCACATGATTAACGGTGGCAACACTAGTGGAGACTCCACCAGCCAGCGAAAGAAGTGGGCTCAGTCCCTTTACGTTGGGGAAGTCAATCACACGCCCCCAACCAAAAGGCCGAGGGCGGATCCAATCTTCTTCACAGATGCGGACCTCCCCTCGGGTTCTCTGCCGCATAGGGATGCCCTCGTCATCCGCACTGAGATCAATGACGCCATCATCCACCGGACTTACGTTGACACAGGGAGTTCTGTAAACGTCATGTACCTTAGTACTTTTCAAGAGTTGGGACTCGACAGGGGGTCCCTCCGACACATCAACACCCCCCTCTCCGGATTTACGGGGGACAGCATCGACGCCGAGGGCGTCATCACACTCATGGTCGAATTCGGCGACGGATCCCATAGAGCCAAGCTCGAGGTGGAGTTCGTCATCGTCAACCTCGACTGCGCACATAACATCATCCTCGGCCGGCCTGCCCTCGAGGATTTGGAGGCCGTCATCTCCATGAGGCACCTCTGTCTCAAGTTCCCCACACCTACCGGCATCGGCTACTCAAGGGGGAATCAGAAGCTCTCCAGGGCCTGCTACCTTCAACTCACCAAGAAGGTTAGTAAAACTGAATTTCGGATTGACACCATCACCGCCAAGGCCCTGGAGGAAGAAGAAGGAAGGCCGAGGGCTGAGCCTGCTGAGGAGACCGAAGACTTGATACTCGATCCGGCCAAGCCGGAGAGAGTCCTGAAGATTGGAGCCAAGCTCCCCGAAGACTTGAAGGCTGGCATCACCAAAGCCCTCCGCGCCTACTCCACTGTTTTTGCATGGGGGCCGGAGGACATGCCAGGTATTGACCGAAGGGTTATCACCCACCGCCTGGCGGTGGACCCTTCGGCCAAACCGATACAGCAGCGGAGAAGACCCCTCTCGGCCGAGAGAAGGGAGTTCGTAAAGAAGGAGGTATCTATGCTCCTCTCCATCAAGCACATCAAAGAGGTGAAATACCCTTCTTGGCTGGCAAACGTAGTCCTCGCACAGAAGCCTCCTACCTTCCGCATGTGCGTGGACTACACGGATCTGAATAAGGCGTGCCCCATGGACCCTTTCCCACTGCCAAACATTGATCAGCTGGTTGATGAGACCGCGGGATGCGAAATCATGTCCTTCCTCGACGCATTCCGAGGGTATCATCAAATCTATATGCATGAAGAAGACGCTGAAAAAACTGCCTTCATGACACCCGAAGGCATCTTCTGCTACCTTGTGATGGCCTTCGGCCTCAAGAATTCGGGCGCCACCTACACCCGAATGGTGGCCAGGGTCTTTCAAGCTGTCCTAGGACGCACCATGGAGGCTTACGTTGACGACATGATCGTCAAAAGCAAGAAGGCCGGCACCCACGCCGACGACCTCCGGGAGATTTTTGCCATCATGCAAAAATTCAACCTCCGGCTAAATCCGAAGAAGTGCACCTTCGGCGTACAAGGAGGGAAGTTCTTAGGCTACATGGTCAGCCGAAGGGGTATTGAGGCCAACCCCGAGAAGATTCAGGCCATCATCAACATGGAGCCTCCACGCAACGTCAAAGAAGTCCAACGGTTGACGGGCCGCCTGGCAGCCCTCAACCGTTTCCTCTCCAAGTCAGCCGAGAGGGCCCTCCCCTTCTTCCAAATCATGAGGAAGACGGCGGGTTTTCAGTGGACATCCGAATGTCAAGAGGCCTTCGACGAACTCAAGAAGTACCTCTCCTCTCCCCCAGTGCTCTCCAAACCAAAGGTGGGGGAGACTTTATACTTATATCTCGGTGTTAGCCCTGCGGCTATCAGCTCA